AAAATTAGGGGGGATCTATTAGCAGAAATGGGATATAGTAAACAATGTTTTCATTACTGTTTAATCACCTGTAACCACGAATTGTTGTGTTTTCGTTATCTTAGAATGTGCCCTTCATATCTACGTAGGGAGCGGCTGTGAGAAGTTTGAGAACCCAAATTTTGACAAATGGAGAATGAGACATTACTTAGCATGAGAAAAAGTGAGGGAGGGTGAATCCTCACCGTCAAAGAAGAGAAAACATGATGAAGGAAAACAAAATCGGAGCAGACGACGGCAGAAAACCTTATGGCCACTGTAGGATCTACTACACGCTTGGAAAGGGAGGGGTGAGGGAGGGAGGAGGATTCAGCTGGGTGCAGTCTGCAGCCTCACCACTAAATATTACACACTGTGCCTTTAAGTAAAGTGTTACCAAACATGCCATATAACATTTGAATAAACACACAACATACATACACACTTAAAAATGATGGCTCTTCAATTGGCATTTAATTGATGAAGTATTGATTAGATAAAGCAGGTGTTGGACAGTATCTGTAAACACTGGAGGAGAGATTTAGGAATGGTTAAACTCATACAGAACAGTTATTTATATTTACTCTAATGTACAGATAGAGGATGTTACAGGATGCTGTGTCGTACTGCACTGCCTCTCGTTTTCCTCTTTTGCTTCATTCCATCCCCTCTTCATCACATGTGGAGGTGTGAAGGTCCTGCACTCCCTCATGATCCTCTCTCAGAAGGCACAGCAGTGAGCCGTGTCTGTTCTCTGAGTCAGCTGCTCCTCGTGACTTCAGCGGCTCAGTGTGATGTGTTTAGGAGGATTTGATGGCGGTTAGAGGGCGATATTTCTCCACCTGGTCTTCAGAGCCACATTTCACTCTGAACCCGCTCTCATTACGTCAGATCCAGGTATTCTGAAAGGAAGACTCAGTGTTTGCGTCTGCAGCGTATGGCCAATTACCATGGTAATTTAAACATGTTTTGCTGATCTTAGAAAAGAACAGAAAACTTGTTCACTAAAGATGCACTTACAGTGGAAATCAGTGGGTGGTTGCATTAAAGCAGGGCAGCCCAATCCTGGGACTGGAGATCTACAGCCCTGTAGAGTTCAGCTCCAACCCCAATCTAACACATCTGATCCAGGTGATGGCCTTCAGGGGCTTCTAAATAATAGAATTTTTAATTTAAAAACTCCAGCAGCACTGCTGTGTCTGATCCACTCGTACCAGCACAACACACACTAACACACCACCACCACGTCAGTGTTACTGCAGTGCTGAGAATGATCCACCACCCAAACAGTACCTGCTCTGTGAGGGTCCATGGGGGTCCTGACCACTGAAGAACAGGGCAAAAGGGGGCTAACAAAGTATCAGAGAAACAGATGGACTACAGTCTGTAACTGTAGAACTACAAAGTGCACCTATATAGTAAGTGGAGCTGATAAAATGGACAATGAGGGTAGAAACAAGGATATAATGTTATGCCTGATCGGTGTATATTATACTAAAAGTAAAAAATACTCTATCCTTCACAAAAATGAACAATATAAAGAATTATAATTAAATAAAAGCCAAATGTTTACACTGTAAGGACATCATATAACGTCAGTAAGGAAGAACATTGAATGTCTATCTTAACGTTAGCTAGTTTAATCTACCTTTCTCCCACTTGTCGGGTGCATAGACATAGGAAAACAGGTTGGGTGTCGCTATGTGTGTCCACTTCCTGTATCCATCATTTCAGATTAAAAGCCCTCTGCAGAGTTTTGAGAACTGTAATTACAAATTCATTACATTTCATAAAATTCCGAAGCAGCCACTGCAAATATATACAGTGGAAACACTGAACTCAGGGTGGTGGACCTCCAGGATCAGGATTAGAATTAAAAGAAATACTCTCCTTAATCTTAAACTCTTTCCTCTGTATCTGTTGTGGATGGCCGGATCATCTGTGGCAGTAACTTCAATGTGTTTCCCAGAACTTAGAGGATAATGGAAGCCAGTGGGACCAGAGCTACTGTTTTACTGTGTTTCCTCAGTTCTGGGTTGTGAAATTGGACCAAACTTCACTGTGGGCTCTGAGGACTGGGCTGAGAAACGCTGACCTGTAACATATATGAAGGTGATCTAGAGAACAGTGTGGCTTCATAGTAACCTCTGCTTCTGTTTATGTATTTGTTTTTCCTCAGATGAAGGCAGGACTCCGCTGTTTAATGATGAAAACCTGTGCCGTATCTGTATGGACGCTGTCATCGACTGTGTGCTGCTGGAGTGCGGTCACATGGTCACCTGCACCAAGTGCGGGAAGCGCATGAACGAGTGTCCGATCTGCAGGCAGTACGTCATCCGCGCCGTCCACGTCTTCAAATCCTAACAGCGACCGGAGAGAAACCTGAAAAATAAACTCCACATGAAGAAAGACTTTAGCTTCTTAAATAAATGTTTTGGGCCAGATTTCCAGACTAAAGCCAGCCTTTCAGTGGCGAATCTCCACTGGGCATTGCAGTTTAGTCCAAGACTAGGCTTAATCCACATTCAGGAGACTGGCACTTTAAAGGAATACTGCACTGTTTTCAGCCTAATCTGTGTCTGATGCATTTTTGTAGCATAGTCAGTTATCATTAATTATAATGTTATTATACTTGCCTGTACTTAGAAAAGAACAAAAAAGATGACTCTAAACACGCTTGTAATGGAAGTCAGGGGCAGTTTCTGCAAGCAGCATATAATGGACTTCAATAGGCAGTGGCTGCAAACAACTTAATAATAAAAATTAAAATTAGGAAGTCTATGGGCAGTTTTGCACGCTGCTTATAATGGATGTCAATGGACAATTGCAGCAAACAGCCTATACTGGCAGTCAGTAGCCAGTTTCTGCAAACAATTTAAAATAGAAGTCTATGGGCAGTTTTGCAAGCTACCTATAATGGACATCAATAGGCAGTTGCTCCAAAAACTCAATACTAAAAATCAGGAAAAAATATGAGGTCAATGGGCAGTTGCTGCAAACTACTTAGAATGTGGTAGTTGACTGTAGCTGCAGGTGGGACACAGAGGTTAGGCTGAAAAGTGATGGTGTATTCCTTTAAGTTGAGGTCTAACAGGGAGGGAACATGTTCTGTAGAAACGTCTTGGAACAGGATGTCGACGCTCAACATGAACCTGTTAAACAACATTATGCAAACATTCCACAGCACACGGCCTCTACTGACGTCCGGACGCTGTAGGATGGTCACCTGTGCGACACGCAGGCCACTGTGAGAACCTCAGAGACTCGTCTGTGAGTGGGATCCGGGTCATACCTCATAACTCAGGATGGAAAGTTCTGGAAGAGTTCAGATGTTTCTCTGCGTGTGTGTGCGCATCTCTGTTTCTCCTGATTGCATCATCTGCCTCGGTTTATTTTGGTTGCAGAGAGGTATGATGCGTTTGGGGAAGAGGGGTTTGTAGTTATTGGATACCTTTTTTATGGAATAATTCAGCAAAAAATCAGATTACTGTTACTTTCCCTTCACTCCAGATGTAGCACATCAGCCCTGACATGTTTGATGTCTTAAGTTTCTTCTTGGCTTCTACTGTTTCATTTAAAAAGCTCTATAATGTTCATATGATCCACACAGTCACTCTGACAGACTGTAATACACTACAGGAAGCGTAGGGGGCGATATGGCTTCTACTGTTTCACTTAAAAAGCTCTATAATGTTCATATGATCCACACAGTCATTCTGACAGACTGTAATACACTACAGGAAGTGTAGGGGGTGATATGGCTTCTACTGTTTTACTTAAAAAGCTCTATAATGTTCATATGATCCACACAGTCATTCTGACAGACTGTAATACACTACAGGAAGTGTAGGGGGCGATATGGCTTCTACTGTTTCATTTAAAAAGCCTCTATAATGTTCATGTGATCCACACAGTCACTCTGACAGACTGTAATACTCTACAGGAAGTGTAGGGGGCGATATGGCTTCTACTGTTTCATTTAAAAAGCCTCTATAATGTTCATATGATCCACACAGTCACTCTGACAGACTGTAATACACTACAGGAAGTGTAGGGGGCGATATGGCTTCTACTGTTTCATTTAAAAAGCTCTGTAATGTTAATTTGATCCACACAGTCATTCTGACAGCTCATTTACACAAATTAGCATTGCGCTAAATGTCCAGTAGCGGGTCTGTTTGAACAGTGCTAATAATAGAAATGTACACCTCTCCAGTTAGCATGGTGCTATGCTAATGTACTTTAGTCCATGTTTATAGATAACAGTGAGTCATACAGGGTCAGAAACCACATAATCAAGTCTATTAGGGATACTGAATGCCTCCACATGCTTGTAGGCAAGTTAGCACCATGCTAATTGGTGTACACAAGCTTCTGTTACTTCTTAGCTACGTTAGCTTCATAGCTCCATTGCTCAATTTAAAGAAGCAAACTTCAGACAACAAACACGTCTTGGTTGATTGACTTCATTCAGGATTTGGGGGCTGGGTTGATTTTTCTTGAACTATCACTTAAAAAAAAAGAAGCTATGCTTATGAGGGATGCCAGATCCACTGTTTCTCCACTTGCACCCTAATCCCTTATTTACTGCACTTTAAAGGGCGTGTTCCCCACTGCAGACGGATCTATAATAAACAGAACAGGCAGGTTTAAAGGAATAATCCAGCTTTTGTAACCTAATTTCTCTCAGACTGTAATTCAGTTTGCCTGTTGGGTTCTGTAAGATGTACTGTGATGGCGGTACTGTGCAAAAGTCAGAGACCCCCCTTTATTTATTTAAGTTCCGGTCAAACAGCCGTTAAATACAAGTTCATTTTTCAACATCAAGAAAAAAACCCAGAAAATCACCCAGAATCCTTTGCAGCTAACTCTACTCTCAGCTGTGTGAGTGTTGAGTGTTCAGTGAGTCACTCTTCACCTTTATTCCAGCTTCCATTCTTTTCAGGAGCCTCACTTTCGGTTCCTCAAAGAATCTGCAGACACACCTCCAAAGTTCAGTCTTAGAAGCTGGTTGATCATTTTCTGAAGCAATCAAACACATTGTGGTGTTGAGGTCTGGACTCTGGGGTGGTCAGTCCATCGTTCAGCTTCTTTGTTTGTTGTGTCCGTCTCCTTTTCTCAGTGAGGTTCTTCTTGACAGCTACACCTCCTTTTAGACCCACAGCGCTGAGTCGTCTTCTCACAGTGGAAGGATGGACAGAAACACCTGTGGATGTTTTCAGATCTGAAGCAGCTTGATTTTCTCCTCTCTCTCAGAGATGAAAGCTTTAAGTACTGTTTATCTGATGGGGGCAGTTTTGGGGTCGACCAGCTCTTCCAGGTGGTTATTAGGAGCCCCATTTTCACTGGAGCTTTTAGTCAGTTTTTCGATCTCCAGTTTTGGAAACTCCTGTTTTTGTCCTTCATTATGCAAGATGATTATCTTATATCTGATCTCTTCACAAATATATCCTGAAAAATCAGCGTACTTAATGGATGGACTGGAAATTACACAAATAAAGAGGGTCTCTGGCTTTAGTGGTGGTCTGCTGTAATGGACTGTATTATACAGATGCAGATTAGGTTGAAAAATGCTGGTTTATTCTCTCTCTGCACTTCAGTATCTTAGTAATATCATATCTAATGACTGTCCTGAGTATGATGCACTCTTTATGAAAGGGAGAAATTAATTAGGTGCCAAATATGTGTAATTTTTTTGTGCGTCTCCTTTCACTCGGTAGTATGGAAGCCTGCCATGGAGTCATAATTCCATAATAATATCTCATTATTAACATAGTATCTCAATTATGAGGTTCTGTTGACTCACTAAATGGCTTAAATTTCTTGTTAAATGACATACATGGGCTTCCATACTGTAGCCTTCTCCAGGTTGGTGTACGTATGTATATGTTTATATAATCACACTGGTGTGATCTGAATGTCCAATTAACCCGAGATGCTAAACGTGGTCATTTTTCTTTTATATACGACTAATGATGAAATTATAAAACTGCATTACAGACTTACAGAATCACGCACAACAACACAGAATTCACTCTGCAGGGCCTGCAAACCTTTATACGTCAGTTTCTTATGTGTCCCAGTCAACCTAACCTGCTTTCTATGTGTAATTAAACCCATAAATCGTCAGTTTTAACATTGAGACTCTATTAAATACATCAGCAAAGTGAACTGACACAGGTTCAGCACAAGTATGTTGTTTTAAATGTACAGTAGCCTAGAGTGAAAATGCTTTGTGGACACTTTTTGTTCAAGATATGGTTGATTTAAAAACAACAACGTCAATATTAGAGTTCAGTCAAATGATGCTAATGTTGCTAACATTGAATGAAAGCCATTAACCAGCAATTAATGGCTACCAGCTTCCATTTATTGTTAGCCATGCTATAATGTTGTTCTTATGACTTCGTAATTCTATTACACTCTCCAGGCTCCGCCCACAAATACGTTCGTTCATAGCTACTGTTGTGAGCCAGTTATTCATTCAGCCTAATGAGAAACTGTAGAACAGACTCAGTTTATATTAATCACAATGCATTTATTAATAAGTAACTCACTCTAAATGTAGGTATTGTGATATAAAGAACGCATTTGTGGGTGGAGCATGGATATGGTAATTATGCCCGTTATGAGCTTGGTCAGGTGTGCTGGAGCCCACACAACATCCAAAATGAGTCTGATCCTCTTGCAGTCCAGAGCAACTCCACCTCACCTGTGTGGCTGTGTGTGTTTTCCTAATTGATACTGAAAGAGACTAATTACAAAATATGTTCTGCACATGTTGTTTATGCTTTTGTTTCTCAAGACTGTGTATCTTCATTAAGATGTTTATTTTTCTGGGAAAATGAAAGATTTACCTTCAGCTGTATTCATTAGTCAATAACGATTTAACAAATCAAACTATAGATGCGAGTTATTACTCACTCTTGTGGTAAAATAACAATAAAAGGTTTGGTTTGGTGTATAATTGTATGGTTTTTGCTTTTCTAGACTCCAGTTAGAATAAAAATAAGTACTTTAAAACAATTTTATTTAGCTTTAGTGCTGATCTAGGGTCAGATTTTAGCTTTAATATCCTTCGTCATGTTGCTGCCTTTGGGACAAAACCTTGTTTTTATATATTGTTGAAAATGGCAGCTCCCCTTTACAAGGCTGGACAATTTTATGACCAAAAGTCCAGTAGAAATGGCCCAAAAAATCTTTTTACATGAACTTTCATTAAAAAATCCTGTGAAGTTACAGTTTTGTAGATATGAGGTTTGTTTAGAAAGCGACAATATGCTAGTAATAGCACTCAATATGCTAATATAGTAACAGCACTCAACTGTACTGGTATTGGATTAAAACAAGAGAAAGGAAACTCTAAATTACCTCCAACCCCAGATGTGCCTGATCAGCCAAGACTTTTTGGTGTTTAAAATTTGCTTCTTTACTTTTAGCACTGGAGCTACAAGGCTAATGTATAGCATCACAGCAATTAGCATTTTGCAAAATGCATGAACTATTAAATGACTGAGATGGCTTAGCTAGAAATGGCAGCAGTTAACACTTCATTTCATGTTTTTAGATCACTTTTTGTGCCATACAGAGTCAGAAATCTCAAAAATAAGTCTATTAGCACATTAGCGTCATAACAATTAGCATTGCGCTAAATGTCCAGAAACCATTAAATGCCTGAGGTAACTGCTGCCGTTTTTAGCTAAGCTAACACTGTATTTCATGTCTATAGATCACAGTGTGTCATATAGAGTCATACATTTCCTAAATAAGTGAACCAGAGGTGACTGAAGACTTTTAGCGCTGTGCTAGGAGGCCAAAGCTAAAGCTTCCATGGCTTGTTAGCTACATAGCCTCGTAGCTCCAAGGCTAAAAGTACAGATGTAAACTTCAGACACTAAACATGTCTTAGCACAGCTGTGTTTGAGGAAGAAATGAGTTTTTCTGAAACTACACTGAAAAAAATGATCTGGTGTCAAGTAATATTTCTCACTTTGAGATGGTTGCGCACTTATTGCTAGATTATCTATCTTATTTCTAGACATCATTTACTTGTTTAAGGTAAATTTATTAAGTAAAATTATCTCACTATTGGCAGAAAACAATTGCTGGTTTCAAGCTCATTTCTTACAACAAGTAAAATTATGTGTCAATACAGTGAGATAATTTACTTTATAAAATTACTTAAAACACGTACAAAATGTCTAGAAATTTAAATAATCTTAAATTAAGTTTACATCAGTCTCATTTAAAGTTTGCTTCTTTACTATTAGCACTGGAGCTTCAAGGCTAATGTAGCTAAACAGAAGCATATTAGCATCACACCAATTAGCATTGAGCAAAAGGTCCAGAAACCATTAAACGCCTGAGGTAACTGCTGCCGTTTTTAGCTAAGCTAACACTGTATTTCATGTCTATAGATCACAGTGTGTCATATAGAGTCATACATTTCCTAAATAAGTGAACCAGAGGTGACTGAAGACTTTTAGCGCTGTGCTAGGAGGCCAAAGCTAAAGCTTCCATTGCTTGTTAGCTACATTTAGCACTGGAGCTACGAGGCTACAGTACAGAGGTAAACTGCAGACACCAGAAATGACTTAGCACAGCTGTTTTTGATGAAGAATATAGTTTTTGTGAAGCTACACTGCAAAAAATGGTATCTTGTCAAGTGAAATGATCTGAAATCTAGTCAATATATTTAATATTTCCCCTTTTGAGTTAGTTATGCAGTTATTATAAGATTAACCTATTTCTAGACATTATTAACTTATTTTAGGTAATTTTATGAAGTAAATGATCTCACTATACTGGTGGATCATTTTGCTGGTTTCAAGCTCATTTCTTAAAACAAGCAAAACTATCTGCCAATAAAGTGAGATAATTTTACTTAATGACTTAAAACAAGTAAATAATGTCTAGAAATAAGATGAATAATCTTAAATTAAGCTTACAACAATCTCAACAGGAGAAATATTACATTTGAGCTCCTTTTCCTCACCATGTTAAAGAAATCAACACAAATCACAGGATTTTCTTTTTCACCTTTTTTTTATTATTACGTACAAATATAAATAGCCGAATTTACATTAAAGTGTTCCAGGTGGCGAAAAGTTACAATATGTTTATATCAGGGTGCACAGCTCCGGAGGTTTTCCTGCTCAAACACACCCACTAAACCTGACAGAGTGATCAGGTGTGTTTGAACAGGTAAATCACCAAATCGCGCTGGACACTGACCCTCCATGACCGCAGCTGTGCAATCCTGGTTTATATGTTTACAGGACAGTGAGTTTAGATCATATGGCACTCTTCTTCTTCCTCCTCTTCTTCTTCCTCTTCTGCCCAGCAAACTCAGCGTCATGATGATAAACCTCAGTCATTTTGCTTTAATAATTACTGCGGCAGGAATTTCTCATAGCTGATAACTACAGAGACAAACACTGTACGGAGGCTCTGTGAGGTCTCAGTATTCGGGCTGTCTGATTTCTACTTTAACATGGTCAAAATCTACATTTACAGAGTCACCCCCCCACACCACCCCCCCAAACACCCCCCATACCACCACCCCCGCTAAACACCGAATGAGTTTAGCATCTGAAGTTTGCTTCTTTAGTTTTAGCGCTGGAGCTACGAGACCAGTAACACTCTTAAAAAAAGCAGCGATTCCATTTAGAACCATGAGTTTTATACACACACTTAAAAAGATGGTGAAAATTGTTCTACATAGAACATGAACACTTAAAGAACCGTTTGCATGATGTAAGGGTTCTCTGCATCGTGAGAGTGTTCTTCAGATTGATGGTGAACATCCTGTAGATGCTGTAAAAATGTAAACCTTTTTGAAAAGGGTTCTATATAGCACCAAAAAGGGTTCCACTACTGTTACAAGCCAAAGAACCCATTTTTGGTACTTTATAGAACGCTAAGAGTGTAGAAGCATTTGCATGCTTAAATAGTTCTCTGCATGGTGATATCGTTCTTCAGAGTGATGGAGAATGTGTTGTATATGGTTCTATGTAGAAACTTTTTGGGGAAAAAAAAAGTGTTCTGCTATTGTTGTCATATCAAGCTTGTAACAACAGCAGAACCCTTTTTGGTGCCAAACACAACCATACACAGCACATTCTCCATCAATCTGAAGAACCATTTCACCATGCAGAGAACCGTTTAAGCATGCAGATGCTTCTACATAGAACTCATGGTGCTAAATGGAAGCATGGCTTTTTACTAAAGACCCTTGCAGATCCATCTTTAAGAGTGTGTGAAACTGGAACGGACTGCGATCTGTTCAGCAGAGCATATAAAGAAATGCATGTGTTTAAAATGTGTATGAAGATTAGTTGTGATATGTTATTGCTGTCTATTTGATTGATCTGACTGCATCGGATCACAGGTTCCATCATATATGACGCATTAATTAACATTAACACTGGACAGTGTTTCATGCATTTCAATGGATTTTGAATTTTTTTTTGGCGTGAAAACAAACAACAATCTGGCAACCCTAGATATCTGGTAATTGTAAAAGTCTGGTAAACAATGCAAGTGCACTCGCGCCGTAATTGAATGCTAATGATATTCTTTCACCAAAACATTGTAGCACAATTATACGATATTTAAATAGGAAACAGATTTTATTTAAGAATTTCAAATGTTTTTTTGGCCCATTAAAGAGCAAACAGTGTTGTTTATGTTGCAGCTTTGGTTAAAAGGACATTCTAGAAATATGCTAGCATGTTTTATGTGCTCATTTAGCCCAACACACTGTGAGCTCTGGGTTTTAAAGTTAGAAAAGAAATAAAAGTAGACCAAAAATCAGCTACTGTTCAGTTTAGCTGTAAAGAAATTAGAACTAGCCATAAAACTTCATCAGTGCATCTTTAAATGTTAGCTTAGCTACATTAGCCTGTTAGCTCCAGTGCTGATGCTAAAGAAGCAAACTTGAGACATTTGCCAAACGTTTTCTGCCAAACTATCACCTTAAATAGCCGAACAAGCAACTCAAATCATAAATAACATTCGGGTTTCTTGTTCTAAGGATAATAATTCCATCTAACTAACTCTATATTCACCCTGTTGCCTCAGAGCGAAGCTTTAGCCGAAGCGGTCGGCTCCGAAACACGTTCAGGGACGGCCTGCGAGCAGAACAGAGGGGATATGGCACCGGCTCGGAAACCAAAGAAGGAAAAATTGAAAGAAAGAACCAAAAAAAAAAATTAACACTTCTGAAAGTGTGTCTTAGCTTAAAAAACAGAAAAAAGTAAAAAACGCTGACCAGAGTAACGCATCCAATACTGAGCACACGGAAACACATTCAGACAAATATATTTAAAAATTCAGTTATTATATATATATTTATATCCCACCAAACTATAGATTCATCAGGACTGAACAGAAATAACACACAGCTTTAGAGGAGCTACATAATCTGTACAGTTCATTTTAAAAGCTTTTTTGTTTTTGTTGATATCAACACAGTTCAGGATGTGCTTTCTCTCCGTGATGGAGTGAGAATAAAGCAGCGTTCACACTGTCGCGGCTAAAGGCGTTACGCGCCGCTGGGGGTGCCAACATTTTTAGCAGCATGTGTGTGACGTACACAGTGATGTTACGCTAAATACTGCTTTGTTTTGTTATTTTAATCTGAATTGTTTGAACAATTCACATGAACTGACTCTTTCTGCATGAACTTTATGCAAATGAGCTGAGCATCAGCCAATCAGATTGTTCATACAAGTCACGGAAACCTTGTCGCCCCTCATCAACCTACATGCGCACATCTAGCGGGAGATTATTACAGTGGGTAACAAAAGAGGATAATTACATAGGCTGATGTTTTTAAAGGGCCCATATCACAGAAAACTGATGCTGTCTTTTCATTTCTTTTAAAATAAGAAATTAATCTGGTATGACATCATAACGTTCACTCCCCAGTAGACAGTCCATATATGGAGTCCAAACTGAAAAAAAAACAGCCTGTTCTGAATTCACTGTGTTTGTGATGTCACAAACACATTTGCCTATTTGCCTATTCAGCCTAGAGCAATTTAGCCCCGCCCATTCACACTTACGTTATGAGGAGTGTTTCAGCTTGAACTACCTGAATGGGGCACAGCCAATCAGAACAGACCTAATTTACATATATCAGTCTTACAGGCACAGTAACGAAAAAATCAGCCTGTTTAACTCGAAGGCATAATAAGAGGCTCTTGTTTTTGATACATAAATGCACACAAATGTCATAACTAGACTCCAATAAGATACAAGAAAATGTAGGATATGAGCCCTTTAAAATAACAACAGGGGCACTGAAATAGTTCTGCTGCTGCTTTAGTGACTCGCCCCAAAAAAAGGGCAGCGGCTGTCGAGGGAAGCGATTCGCTTCTCTCAAAAATGCAGTGTTAACTTAAACAGTGCAGATTCTGAACGTATGTAAACAAAACAAACTAAAATATAAACTCCACCGTGTAAAAAAGCACATGTAGGTCTTTACTGAGCTCAAAACATTTTAAAGTTCTGTACTGTTGGTTTTACTGTTATTGTTTTAACAATCCTGAAATCCGGAGGTGCTGCGGGTCACAAAAAACATCCCAAATTTTAAATTTTTAAACTAATTTCAGAGCTTAAGAATACAGATTACAGACTTCTGGTATTCTACAGGTAGACTGGAAGCCAAAAAGTTGCTGAACAGCATCTAAAACTCAGCACAGTTCCACACAACGTGGCAAACAAAGTGAAGCTCTATTTAAAGCAAACAGCCGAGACGTTAAACCTTTTGCCGCGATGTTGTGAACGCTGCTTTAGTGTGTATGTGCCAGTTACCACGTCCACTGCTGCTTCTTCTTCTTCTTTAACACATCTTTCGCTGTACTGTCCAGCCAGTTTCACTGCACCTTTGAAAGTGTCCATCCAAAAAGCATTATTTTCACTGGCTGGTTAATATCCACCTTCTCAGTCCGTCCAATCAGAGCAGGGGAAATCGTGGCAGGAAAACAACAAAACCAGTAAGTCCACAGATCAGTTTGAGTGCTTATCGTTCTCCAATACAGTCAGAGCTTCTCTCTCATTCTCTCCGCTCGGGCGCGTTGAGGTTAGCAGAGTTTCTGCAGCAGTTTGTCCTCTCGCAGTCCGAACGAGACGCTGACCGACATCTCTGCGATGAAGCGCTCGCACGCCTGCCGGCTCACCTGCTTACAGAAGCGCAGGTCGATCCTACAGATGCTCCCGCAGCGCTTAAAGTACGTCAGAGACTGATCCGTCACCCGGTTACACACTGCAGGACGGAGAGAGAACAGCACATCAGGGCAGAGATATCAGCGGAGAACCGTGATTATCAGAGCTGAGCCCTCAGTTCGGCCCATAAACGAGGAAACAACGACCTCTGTGGAAATGCTCGTTTCTGCTAGCGCCCCTATGGGGTTTCTAGTAATATGTTAGCACTAAGCTAACAGTAGCTATGTTTCCTTTACTGCAAAAAAAGGTTTCAGTGCTTTAAGGTTTGTCAATGAAGGCCACGTAAACAGAAATTGTTAGTAATATTTTATGATTGACTAAATATATTTTAAATTTTTTGCAGGTAAATTGTTAATACCTGAAATTCTTACAGGGAAGCATAAAAGAAAAGGGAGAAAAATAAAATATCTTAAAACAGAAGGTCCTTATGAGTGGGTTATGGGGACGTCGGGGGGGGCAAAGATACACAAACTTTGGAAACTTTTGAAATGCATTTTTTTTAAACAGGAAATGAGGTCATTACACTTATCGCTAAAAGTTAGTCTGATGGAAAAAAGCTTTTGGTACACAGAGCTCCATTTATGGAACCTAAACTGGAAAACCAGGTCTGAAGTCATTGTTTTTGTGATGTCATAAGCACATTTGCCTGTCTGCTTATTCAGCCTCCAGCTGTTTAGCCTCGACCATTTACACTGAAGTTATAAGGAGTGTTTCAGCGTGAACTGCTTTCCGAATGAGGCACAGCCAATCAGTACAGAGCTCATTTACATACATCAGTCTTAACGTCATTATTGCTAAAAGTCAGTCTGATGGAAACAAGCTGCTAAAGGAGAGGCTGATGGTCATGCAAATTATTGTTTTTTGGTACATAAAACTAAACCAATGTCATAATTAGACCTCAATGGAAATAAAACAGGGTTAAATAGTACAATTGTGCGACTTCTTGTGAATAAAAATGATCTGACCGCTCAAACGGTCAGTCTTTTTGTTTACTGAGCTTCTACAGCAGAATTTAGTTGAAACCCTGAGTCCAGGTGTGTTTCTGTGTGTACCTGACAGGTTGATGTCGGTGAGCGAGTCGCGGGTCGTCGTCCCCGCTGCGGTCAGCAGGTTGACCGACTGGTCGTTGATGTGGTTGCAGTAGCTGAGGTCCAGCCGGGCCAGCAGGGGCATGTTCTTAATGATGAGGCGCAGGGAGCTGTCTGTGACGTCCAGACCGGCCAGACGCAGATCCAGAACGTTCCTCAGCTTACTGCGCGTGTCCATCTGACCTGCGGGAACACATGCGCACCATTTACTGCCCACTGCGTTCTTTTAATGCTGGAAACATTTTCTGATAAAGACATTCAGACTATCAAACTATCCCACCCGCAGTTTTAACGGGCTGCTATTTCTTCTGGGGTCCAGTCAACAAGCTGTGCATTACAAAATAGTGCAATAACAATCAACGAGAAGAGTCGGGTAAAACAAATAAAAGAAAAACAGAAAGAAAATGAGAGAAAACAAAACACATGAAAAAAAAAAATATCATAGTAAGATAATTCAAAACATAAAATAACAATAGAATTTGGGCCCAGTCCCATTTCACCCCTCGCCCCTACCCCTCAGCCCTACTGCCCTATTGCGTGTTCTAGTAGGGGGTCCCGATTCTTGTTGAGATAGAGGGGTGGGGTGAAGTGTTGGGGCTACATGACCCTCCAAACAGAGATTTTCAGAGACTCCAAACAGAAAAAAGAATGTGTCTCTGCTAAAAAGTTATGGTACCCATTGTTTTATCTTAGTTTACTGCCATTTCAGTGTAATATGGTCGTTTTCTTCATAACAAGCTTAAAAAATCCCTATTATTATGCTAATGTCTCGGTGGCTAGCTAGCTAACTTTCCCGTTCCACCTTAAATAGTCCAGCAGTTCTGATGCCTAAAGCACCAGAATGTAACTGCTGCACCATTTAAGGTGGAACAGAAAATTCGAACAAGAATCTGGTGAATCTCTGACTTCAGCTTCATATCACTGAAGAATTAGGGGTGGGTGATAATAAATAATTGCCCCCCTCTTTGAAGGCATATGATGCCCTAAATGTAACTAAAGCCCAGCAGTGAGGAGCTGAACTTTACCCTCCTCTGCTGTCACTGCAGACTGGCAGGGTCGCCTACAGAGCAGCACTGGTAGCTGTTAATGAAGTGATGCTCTTTTTATTTGAGGGTCCCATTTCAGAGGGAAGATTTCAACCACTGCCCTGTAACTCAGTTCCAAGGGGCAATAATAAGAAACAGTGTTGGGTCTATGTCTCACAAAGACCTTAGCCGACTCTATTCCAGTAAGTATCTACATCCCAGCCCACCATGAAACTCCAACATGGTGTTATTCCAACTATTCCAAGACCGATCAACCTAACGGATCTTTAAATTGTTAAAGTCTCTTTTTATTCGCTTTTTAAACATCATTTTACCCCTGAGCAGTGAGACCAACAGGGAATTCCACTCCTTTACAGCTCTATAAAGTACTTTTATATCTTGTTGTATTAGTTTCTCTGTTATGCTTTTTTGCTCCAGCTGATCATAAAGATCTGGATATTTCTGTTCGTAAGTATTTTTGAAGTCCAGCAAGGATCATCTAAGACCATCTATCTAGTTATTAAGTGCCTGAGGCAGCAGCTGCACCGTTTAAGGTGGAACGGGAAAATTCAAACAAGCTGACTTCAGCTTTGTAGTTTTATTTCTGGCAGCATTTTTGACAAGATGATTTAAGCAAAATCAAAATATCCTGCCTAGAGTTTAATGTAGGGAGCTACCTGTAAATAAGTGCTGCGGTAGGACATTTTAACACAGCAGGACAATTTATCACAACACCGGGACACTGCAGCGTGGACACAGTGAGGACACAGGTGCAGCAGCTAAAGCTTGTTTTATTTGTTTCATTTATTATTTTTTCATTGTTAGCTTATTTATGTGTATACATTTTATATTTATAATATATTTATATTTACATTTTATTTCTATGTATAATACATTTATTCCTTATTTTTTACTTAGGTTTATTTTTAGATTATTCTAGTTATTTTTAGACATTTTTAATTGACTGAAGTGCTTTTTATCTGGTGAAAGTGTCTTTTTCCACTGACAGATCATTTTGTTTATTTTAAGCATTATTTTCCTAAAGCAAGTGAAACTGTGTGCTAATGGAATAAGACGCTTTCACCAAATGAAAGGACTTAAAATAAGTCTAGAAACAGGGTGAATCATCTCAGTGCTCATATAACAATGTCCTGCTGGTGTTTACACACAAATACAGCTTTACACACTGCAAACAGTATCTTGTCAAGCGAAATGATCTTAAATCTTAAAATTCTAAGATGGCTGTGCACTTATTATAAGATTATTTAGCTTATTTCTACACAATTATCTCACTATACTGGCAGATAATTTTGCTGGTTTCAAGCACATTTTCAGGACTTAAAACAAGCAAAATTATCTGCCAATACAGTGAGATAATTAAAAAAAAGTACTTAAAACAAGTAAATAATGTCCAGAAATAAAGTAAATAATCTTAAAATTAAGCTTACAACCATCTCAACAGGAGAAATATTAGATTTATCGACTAGATTTAAGATGATTTCACTTGACAACATACTGTTTTTGCAGCGAGTAAAGCTGTAGTTGGGTGTAAACACCAGCAGGACATTGTTATATGACTCACCCTGTTTCTAGACCTCTAGACTGATTTTCCTTTGGCTGCATTACAGTTACATTTTCTCTTTTTTACCCTTTCGGTCGTGACGGAGAGCGCAGATAAACGGTAATCAGAGGCATGCAGGGCTTTGGTCACACGGAGCAGAGCGCCCCCTACTGAACCAATCTAGCACCAACCATTTAAAAATGCCTCCAAGGTAGAATGAATTAATGTTACATTAATACCGACAGCAGCAGCGTTTCCCCAGGAGCTTATCGACATTTCAGTACTGAGCAGTCAGAAAACTTAGCATCGGTTCTCGATACTCATCGCTAACAATGATATATATTTAAATACTGAGAGTCTTACCTTTAGGTTTAGGTCACGCAGATGTATTATAGACTAAATTAATTCACAACTTGAACATTAAAATACAACAATAACTTTGTGTTGCTGTTGTTTTTTTAACATTCTGTTCCACTTTCTGAGATTTGGAGCATTTAATATAGTTTTTATCTTAAAATCTGAACTTGCGCTACAAGACTTGGCACTTTTACAGCACCAGTCCGGCATAAAACCACATGAAGGTCAAAATTACAATTATAGACCGCTGACAAAACAGTGGACCACCAGAATAAATCAGGGTAAGATAAATCATGTGTGGTTTACCTGGTCTGTTGTCTGTAGGGGGCGACAGGAGGTCCCTCATCTGGGGGTCTTTGAGGCCCTCGACCCACTGCAGGTCGAGCGTGCGGAGCAGCGGGCAGGAGGAGGTGCAGAGAGCCGAAACCGCCGCCCACGAACAGCCGGACAGGAGTAACACCCGCAGACCTACAAACCCGGAGAGAGTTTGAACGCTTTGAACATTTCCTGATCAAATTATGTTCGGCTGCTGTTTTTCTAAGTCAGAACATCATAAATATGGCATTTTCTGAAAACTTTAGTGCTCAATTTCTATTGATTTTGCTAAGTTTAAATTTAAAAATGTGCCATAACTTTTTATTTTTTCCCCCAAAGTGTTAAACTTAATGCAACCGATTATTTTTTTGATCATCTATTTCTCGATGCTACCAGGCTGGGAGGGTGAAGGACAGCGTGAGCTTCTCTGAGACACGAGAAATGATAAAAGCTTTATGATAAAATAAACCTGCACAGGGAGGCTTTTATCACTTACATTAAAAAGAAACTGGCAAGTCAAACTATCAAATCTAGTAAATGTAGATCTAATGGTTCATTATGTTTTATTACTGGATTATTATATTAATTTATATTATAGATTTTATTATATATTTATATTTACATTACATTTCAATATATAACATTATTATTTTTATAGATTTTTAGATTATTAAAGTTATTTTTAGATATTTTTATTTGAAGTGCTTTTATCTGGTGAAAGTGTCTAATTTCACTGGCAGGTCATTTTGTTTATTTTAAGCATTAATTCTTAAAGCAAACAAACGTGTCTGCTAATAAAACACAACACCTTCTCCAGATAAAGTGACTTAAAATATCTTGGCAGGTTAGATTGTCTTAAATATAGTTGATATCTAATATTCCTCATGTTGATATTACTGTCAGTTTATAATAAGATTGTTTAACTAGATCTTTTTACTTGTACTGAGTAAGTGTATTAGGAATTATCTCACTATATTGGCAGATAATCTTCCTTGTTTTGAGAACTGAGCTTGAAATAAACCAGCTAAATTATCTGCCAGTACAGTGAGATCATTTTACTCAATAAAATTACTCAATATAAGTAAAAACCAACTAGAAATAAGTCATATGATCTTGCAATACTCATACAACCATCTCAAAATGAGAAATATTAGATAGTCTTATTAGTTTAAGATGATTTCTCTTGTTAAGATATCATTGTTTGCAGTGTAAAGTCTAAAAATAGGGTAAATAATCCGACAATACTCATATGACAAACTCATAATGAGAAATATTAGATATGCTGACTAGATTTAGGAGCTTTTCACTTACAGACATGATATTTGTACAGTGTAACAGCAACACAACTCAAATTTAAAAGTGTCCCAAAACTTCTGATGGTCCACGTTCATGTGCAGAACCCCCTCACTGACCTGGCAGCCTGTTGATGAGCCAGCTGAGCTGCTTTTTGGAGATGTTGGTCCAGCTGAGGTCCAGCGTGATGGGCTGCCTGCGGATTATTCCGCTCAGCATCAGCGGCGTGATCGACTTACAGCGGCTCAGATCGATTTTAGTCCACAGACGCTTATCGCAGCACCTACACACACACAAACACGCCGACTGAGTCACGATGAACTTTAATAAGTGACAGAATGAGTCATAAACACGTCTCTCACATCAGTTAAATATCATATTAAATATCAACAACAAAGACAAGCAACTACAGTTAAAGAAATAGTTCAGATCCAATTCCCCCAGTTTCCCCTTCTTCCCTAAATAGAGGCAATCAGTTCAGTGTATGAAAGGCGCTTCCTTAGGTTTAGCCCTGGTGCTAACTGCAGGCCTAAATCAGGGTCTCGAAGCATGTGGGGATGTTCAATAATGTCTAATAGACCTGATTACACTGTTGCTAATACAGTATGTCAGAGGGAGGAGTCAAAACGTCCAAAAATAGTCACGAAAGTTTCAAAACAGCTAAAGAAAAGTGTAGAGCTGTATCATCTGTTTGGTTAGAGGTCCTAATCTGTTTAGTCCAGTGAAGGAAACAGAAATATTACTATTTTTCAAAATCTCAGCAAAATTAAACGTTTAATATGTTATCAGAGTCATTCAGAGTGGTTTGGTGTGAAACGCTCTGTTCTAGATAAACTTACCGAGTCAGAACTGTTCACAGTGGTGCTGATAGGAACCAGACGTCCACCTCTAAAAGCTCCCTCACAGAAAGTTCCTACATGAAATGGTTATGAATTCACTGCCTGATGACTGAGACACTGTTTTATGATAGTTTAGAGAACTTAAACTCCATTCATGGTGGAGGGATACATGCAGGGCGCTGTGAGGCAAAATAGTCCCCAAAGAAAACATATTATTTCAGATTTTCCACTATTTTCCATCATCAACATTCCATATAAACTCAGAAGACTCGTGTAGGTTCACTGGTGGTTCTGGATAGTAAATAAAATGTCTATATTTGTGTTGTAGTCATGGCGACCCCTGGTTCCTATCACCACCACTGTAAAGAACCATTTCACACCAAACCACTCTGAATGAGTTCAGTTTAAAATATTAGCGGGGTTTAATGGAATAAAACTTTTAGTATCACTTAATGAATTTGGTATCATATTGAACACACCAGTCAAACTATTTCTAGTAGAAATATGGAGATGAAAAACCTGCAGAACTGGATAAAATACACCTCCTGCTGTGGCGTTTTTTAGCTATGCTGATTAAAGCTGTGTAAAACTGATTTTGGTCTCTAAAGCTCTGATCCTCACCAGCGGTTCCAGGTCCTGCAGACCCTCATGCACACACACAGCTCTCGGTGGCTCAGGTGGCTGAAGATGGCCATCCAGGCTTCTCTCTGAGCCACGTGGCTCCGCCCATCGGCCAGAGGCAGCCTATCAGGAGGAGGGCAGATGGGCGGCGGGCGGATGACGTGGCGCTCCATCTGGACGCATTTCGGAGGGGATCTGGTGGGCGGCGGCCGCAGGACGGGGGCACTGCGGTTGAAGCCCAGCGGGGTGATCTGAGACGGGTAGAAGTGGCGAAGCTCCCAGGCCGTCCCGTTCATCTCCCTCGCGCGCAGGTTAGACCTGCAGACACGCAACAACATAACACTGTCAGACAAAACATCACAGTGAGTTGATTTGGTGATGATTCTACAGGAAATGATTAAACGCATTAAGAGCTGCACCACAATTCCATTCAGGTCGATTAACCAATGTATTTACACAGCAGCAGCACAGTGAAAAATACCTTTCTCGGATGTTTTTGTTAGAAAACGACAGAAAATGAGCACCTATTTCACAATAATAAATGAGCTGTGTAGATTTGTTTTTATTTTGAGAAGTGGCCGAAGGCAGAGAAGTCTGCAGGACAAGCCCCTCACGAGCAGCGGTTCATGACATGGTAATTCAGCCCACCTACAGAAATTTTAGTGTTTTACTTTTATTGGCAGAACTGAGCTCTGCCGCGATTTCACAATTACATCTGAATTTAACGTTTTTTTGTATTAGAAGATTTGCGTTTGTTGCTGAACAACAACCTACAGCTAACATTGACGTACACGAGGGAGAACCACATGGAACCAAAGAGTAATGTTCTCAACTCATCGCCCAGTCAGAGGCCGTGTTCCCAACTCATCGCCCAGTCAGAGGCCGTGCTCCCAACTCATCGCCCAGTCAGAGGCCGTGTTCCCAACTCATCGCCCAATCAGAGGTCGTGTTCCCAACTCATCGCCCAGTCAGAGGTCGTGTTCCCAACTCAACGCCCAGTCAGAGGCTGTGTTCCCAACTCATCGCCCAGTCAGAGGCCGTGTTCCCAACCTGTTCCCAACTTGTCGCCCAATCAGAGGCTGTGTTCCCATCATGTCACCCAATCAGAGGCTGTGTTCCCAACCTGTTCCCAACTTGGAATAATAATAATAATAATAATAATAATAATAATAATAAATATCTCGGAAACACTGCATGCCAGAGATTTATTTTGCTCTGAAGGGTAGCGTTGTGCTGTCGAAATGTCGAGAACAAAGCCTCTGATTGGGCAGCCTGTTCCCGACATGTAGCCCAATCAGAGGCCGTGTTCCTGACACATCTCCCAATCAGAGGCCGTGTTCTCGACATGTCGCCCAATCAGAGGCCGTGTGACTTTAAAAGCACAAAAATCCGAAAGCGAGGGAAAGTAACCCTTTGGATTATGTTACAGATCATTTACAGCTAATCAGTGATCAGTGCTGGAATGCACTGTTGAAGTACCCTCCCGATCCTGCCCCCTAATAACGATTAATAAACAGTCTTACCGCAGGTGCGTCCGTTCTCCCCCGACGTCGCCTCCTATTGTCCCGTTGCGGAAGTTTCTTTTGGGTTCCTCGTTCTCGCTGTCCTCAGGCTCGCTCTTGAGCGGCTGCTGGTTCTCATTGGCGAGCGAATGTTCTGTCCGCCGGATCTCCAGGTTCAGCTGCTTGCTGAGTTCTGCGCTGAGCTGCTGGTTTTGTGGCCTGCGGCGGGTTCTCCGTGCTCGAGCACGACTGGAACACGATACGTTATGGTATAAATGTGAATAATAATAATAATAATAATAATAATAATAATTTTAATATCATTTTTTTCTTTGGACACTTCAGCTGCCCTTACCCTTACTTTAACGTTCTAAAATGATTGAAGAAATGTGGTGCACACTGGGGAGTTTTTGTCGTTCAGAGTGGTTTGGTGTGAAACGCTCTGTTCTAGATAAACTTATCGAGTCAGAACTGTTCACAGTGGTGGTGATAGGAACCAGACGTCCACCTCTAAAAGCTCCCTCACAGAAAGTTCCTACATGAAATGGTTATGAATTCACTGCCTGATGACTGAGACACTGTTTTATGATAGTTTTGAGAACTTAAACTCCATTCATGGTGGAGGGATACATGCAGGGCGCTGTGAGGCAAAATAGTCCCCAAAGAAAACGTATAATTTCAGATTTTCCACTATTTTCCATCATCAACATTCCATATAAACTCAGAAGACTCGTGTAGGTTCACTGGTGGTTCTGGATAGTAAATAAAATGTCTATATCTGTGTTGTAGTCATGGCGACCCCTGGTTCCCATCACCACCACTGTAAAGACATCCCCTTTAGAAAAAAAAAACATTTCATATATTTATGCTAAAGGGCTTAAAAAATAAAATTATTTTTAATAATTATTTTTTTTTATAAATTATTATAAATTTTATCATCATCACTGCTACTACAGCAACTACTACAACTACTAATTATAATAATAAATCTTTTTTTTTGCATCATGATATAATATTGTTATTATCTGGACAGTGGTGAGTATTATGATATAAATCTCAGATTATATTGTCCAGCCGTACCTCGGTGCCCTCTCCTGGGTCTCGCTGCCCTCGCTGCTGGGTCCGGCTCTGGGCGAGCTGCAGCGGGACGCGTCGCTTTCCACCGAAGCCGAGAGGCTCTTTAGCATCGGGCTTCGGTCCCGAGCCCGCCGGACCGCCCCATCTTCATCCTCCTCCTCTTCCTCCTGCTCCAGCTCCTCCTGCTTCCTCTCTGAGCCGAACTCCTTCTTAAGCACAGGCCGTTTACTCTCCTCCTCTCGCTCCTCCTCCTGCTCAGACGCCTCCTCCTCCTCAGTCTTCATCTGAGGAGCTTTAGGAACTAACGGATCCTCAGGCTTCCACGGCTTCTTCAGCTGGACGGAGCGTCACGGCACATCGTTAGGATAACACATAAAATTATTTAAATATTTAAATATGCAAAAAATTCTAATAAAGTGGCTGGCGAGTGGAAGTGGGTAGGGGTGTTTCTAATAAAGTGGCCAGTAAACGGAAGCAGGTGGGGTTGTTTCTAATAAAGTGGCTGGCGAGTGAAAGTAGGTAGGGGTGTTTCTAATAAAGTGGCCAGCGAGTGAAAGCAGGTGGGGGTGTTTCTAATAAAGTGGCCAGCGAGTGAAAGCAGGTGGGGGTGTTTCTAATAAAGTGGCCAGCGAGTGAAAGTGGGTAAGGGTGTTTCTAATAAAGTGGCCAGTGAGTGGAAGCAGGTGGGGTTGTTTCTAATAAAGTGGCCAGCGAGTGAAAGCAGGTGGGGGTGTTTCTAATAAAGTGGCCAGTGAGTGGAAGTAGGAGGGGTTGTTTCTAATAAAGTGGCCAGTAAATGGAAGCAGGTGGGGGTGTTTCTAATAAAGTGGCCAGTAAATGGAAGCAGGTGGGGTTGTTTCTAATAAAGTGGCCACTGAATGGAAGCAGGTGGGGGTGTTTCTAATAAAGTGGCCACTGAATGGAAGCAGGTGGGGGTGTTACTAATAAAGTGGCCAGCGAGTGGAAGCAGGTGGGGGTGTTTCTGATAAAGTGGCCCATGAGTGGACACTGCTACGTTTACCTTCTTTTTAGCGCTGGCGTCCTCTTCCTCTTCGTCATCATCAAACAATTTTTTCTTCTTCCTGAGGAAGTTCGGTATGTCTGGCCGCGGTCTGGGCAGCTCTCTTGGGGTCAACTGGGGGGGCAGACGGGTGGGCAGGTCCTCTGCGTTCAGTCTGGGGGTCTCGTCCCTCTCGCTCTTCCTTCGGGCTGCGGCGGGGTCCGCCTCGTCCCGAGGGTCCCGGCTGGTCTTCTGTTCCCGTAGCAGCGACCCCGGCAGGTTGGAAGCGTACTTAAAGCCTGGGCCACGTTTTTGCTTACAGGCCAAGAGGGCAGCAAGAAAACATACGAGACCACTTTATACCTTATGCATGTTATTATCGGCATTAAAGGGCCCATATTCGACAGTTCTTACACTTTATTTCATTTAATTTGCATTTTAAAGCTTCCTTTATAACGTTTGTGTGGATTTATGTACCAAAAAAGTTATTAATATAGTTATAATTTCTACGTGACCATTTAAAAATGACAAATGAGGAAAATTCAGGTCACTACTACACAGCACTACAGAGCCCATATCCTGGGAAAACCAAATTTCCTCCTTTTTAAATCAAATGTGGTTTACAGTACAGGGCAGCCAATCAGAACAGAGCTCATTTACATAACAGTCTTAAAGGCACAGCAACGAAAAACAGCCTGTTTAATACTAAAGCATTAAGAGAAGCTAGAAAATGGCCAATAAATTAATTATAACTCATTTCTGTTCATAAAACCACACAAATATATATGGGCCCTTTAATTATCCAGTACAATACTAATACCAGGAAAATACCCCAATTACCCAGCAGTGCTGATTATCCTGATATATAATAACGTATCTAGAGTTGCACATTTACAGAGCGAGATCAGACGGAGGACAGACACACGGACAGACTCACAGTTTACAGTGTTAACGAACTTGATCGTTTCTGTAATTACTGGACAACTGAGGGTGTTATAAATGCTGAATTACCCATCAGTGTAGTGTAATAGAGTTCTGTGTTACATCATTCACTGAGTGTCTGAATTTCTTCAG